GAGGCTGGGATGCTGGGATACAAGGTTGCTGGTGTGCTGGGAGGCTGGGATGCTAGGATACAAGGTTGCTGATGTGCTGGGAGGCTGGGATGCTAGGATACAAGGTTGCTGATGTGCTGGGAGGCTGGGATGCTAGGATACAAGGTTGCTGATGTGCTGGGAGGCTGGGATGCTAGGATACAAGGTTGCTGGGATGCTAGGATACAAGGTTGCTCATGTGCTGGGAGGCTGGGAGGCTAGGATACAAGGTTGCTGATGTGCTGGGTGGCTGGGATGCTAGGATACAAGGTTGCTGATGTGCTGGGAGGCTGGGATCATGGCTGAAAGTGGCTTCACATCTGCTGTACTGCCCTGGCGAGTCCCCCACCCGAGTTATCGTAAATACCTGAAATCGCCAAAGATAAACTAGTACTTGGCGAAGCTGCGTAAAGCCGACGATTTTTTTTGCTTCTCTTTCAAGTGAAGTGTTTGAAGTTGAAGTTGCGCGGAGATTTTACGGTGCTCTTGCGCTGGTTGTTTATGATGCGTTAGTTAGTACGGACTATTTATGATCGCTGGTTTATGACGTCAAGGATCATGCGTCTGGCGTGCTCCTGTCACGTGGACTATGGCTCGTGCTCGTCACGCCCCCTATGTATTTGGTTAGCTGTCATAAAAATTATAATACCATATATGTATATATAATATGATAATATTATATATATATTACATATACATATATATATAATATATATATATATCCGTGGAATGTTTTGAGGTGCATGATTTACTGAGGAAGGTTTAGGGGCGTGCTTATTCTTCGTACGTGTGTGTGCGTGTTTTGCGTGTGCGTGCGTGTGTGCGTGCTGTGCGTGCGCGTGTGTATGCTGCGTGCGTGCGCTGTGTGTATAGCGGCGTGGCGCTGTGTGTGAGTGCGTGAGTGTGTGTGTGCGTGCGCGCGGGCGTGTGTGTGCGTGGCGTATCCTGGTGCGTGCGTGGTGGCGATGTGTTCGCGAAATATGAAAAATGTTTGACGATATCAACGTTCAAAATGTTTACATGGCGTTTTTAAGCAATATTTTCAATGTATATTTTTTTTAAATTATAAAGCAATAGACGAAACAGTTTAGTTCAAAAATATTTGCTCCTGAAAGAAAAGCATATGAAACTCCCCCTCCTCTCTCTCTTCTCTCTCTCTCTCTTCGTCTCTTCTCTCTCTCGTTTCGTCGCTCGTCTCCTCTCCTCTCCTCGTCTCTCTCTCTCCTCGCGTCGTCGCTCTCTCATCTCCTCTCTCGTCTCGTCTCGCTTCGGGAAACGGAGCTCCTCACTCTCTCTCTCTCATCTTTCTCTCTCTCTCGCCGCTCTCTGTCTTTTTTGTCTTTCTTCCTCTTTCTTCTCTCCTCTTTCCTTCCTCTTCTCTCCTCCTACCTCTTCCCCCCTTCCGGCCTTCTCCCCCTTCCTCCTCCCGTCCTCTTTCTCTCTGCCTCCTCCTTTCCTTACCCTTCTCCTCCCCTCTCTCTCCTCTCTCCTCTCGTCCCTCTCGTCCAACAGTCGGCTAATATATACAGAATGCGAGAGTTTCAAGTACTCAGTAGCAAGAAGCACCGACCTAGATCGTCACGTGACCTCGTTCCGTCGCTCCCAGAAGCCGTGCGGCACAACTGGTCAACAATAGCTCGGCAAACATTTATACGTCTGAGCTCTACCTGCTGCTTTCTGGTGCTGCCTGCTGCGTGCTGCTGCTCTGGCTGCTGCTGTACTGCTGGGTGCTTCTTAAACTGGGCTGCTGCTGCTGCTTGCTGCTCTGCTGCTGAGCTAATACTCTGCGTGGTGCTCTATGCTTCTACTTTGCTTGCTGGTGTGGTGCTGCTGCTGACTTTGCTGGTGCTGGCTGCTGCTTTGGCTTGCTACTAGTACTGTTGTGCTGCTGCTTGGCCTGCTGGCTATTGGTTGGTGCTTTTGCTGTTGCTGCTGCTGCTGCTGCTGCTGCTGCTGCTGCTGGTGGTGTGGTGCTGCTGCTGGCCTACTGCTGCTGCTCGCTTCTCCTGGCTGCTGGTTGATGTGCCTGCTGCTGCTGCTGCTTGCTGCTGCTTCTAGGCTACTNAAGTAGAGTAGAGAGTATAGGTAAAGTAGAGTAGAGAGTAAACGTAAAGTAGAGTAGAGAGATATAAAGTAGAGTAGAAAGTATAGTAAAGTAGAGTAGAGAGTATAGTAAGTAGAGTGAGAGTATAGTAAAGTAGAGTAGAGAGTATAGTAAAGTAGAGTAGAGAGTATAGTAAAGTAGAGTAGAGAGTATAGTAAAGTAGAGTAGAGAGTATAGTAAAGTAGAGTAGAGTATAGTAAGTATAAGTAATATTGGTAATTATATATAAGTATAAGTATAATAAGTATTAGGAAGTAAAGCTAAGAATGCTAGAAGGCAGTAAGTGGATGAGTCGTCAGTGACGTACGGTACAGTGTCGCTGTGTGCAGCTGCTGGGAGCGCTGCTTCTTGCGTCTGTATCTGTTCTTTCTCGTGACTGTGGTGATGACATTCGTTGCTGCTGCCACTCGTTTACATCTGCCCTGTCTCCGACCCGAAACGGCGCTTGCTGTAGCATCTGATGAAATGGTGATTGCGTAGCATCGTGATGGATCTGAGGCATCTCGATGAGGTGATATGGTGCTGTAGCGATCTGATTGATGGTGATGAGTGCTGTTGTTAGCATCTGATGATGAATGATGGTGGTGTAGCATCTGATGTGATGTGGTGGTGTAGCTGAGGCTGGTGATGTGATGTGCATCTGATGATGGTGATGGTGCTGTAGCATCTGATGATGGGATGGTGGTGTAGCATCTGATGATGGTCGATGGTGCTGTAGCATTCTGATGATGGTGGCTGCTAGCAATCTGATGATTGGTGATGGTGCGTAGATCTGATGCATGGTGATGGTGCTGTAGTATCTGATGAGTGGTGCGTGGTGTAGGAATCTGATGATGGTTGCATGGTGTTGTAGCATCTGACATGATGGTGATGGTGCTGTAGGCATACGATGATTGGTGATGGTGCGTAGCATCTGATGATGGTGATGAGTGCTGTTTAACTGCATGTGCTGGGGTGTGTGATCTGGATGGTGATGGCTAGTAGTGCATCTTGATGATGGTGATTGGTAGCTGTAGCATCTGATTGTGATGGTTGTAGGCATGCGTAGGTGAGGTGGTAGCATCTGATTGATGGTGATTGGTGGTGTAGCATCTGATGATGAGTGATGGTGCTGTAGCAGTTCTGATGGTGGTGGTGGTGCTGTAGGCATTGATTGATGTGATGGTGCTGTAGATCTGATATGGTGATGGTGCCTGTAAGCATCTGATGATGGGTGATTGGTGCTGTAGCATCTGATGATGGTTGATGGTGCTGTAGCATCTGATTGATGGTGATGGTGCTGTAGCATCTGATGATGGTGATGGTGCTGTAGCATCTGATGATGGTGATGGTGCTGTAGCATCTGATGATGGTGATGGTGCTGTAGCATCTGATGATGGTGGGTGGTGCTGTAGCATCTGATGATGGTGATGGTGCTTCTGTAGCAATCTGATGATGGTGATGGTGCCGTGTAGCATCGATGATTGGTGATGGTGCTGCTAGCCGCATCTGATGATGGTGATGGTGTTGTTAGCATCTGATGATGGTGATGGTGCTGTAGCATCTGATGATGGTGGGTGGTGTAGCATCTGATGATGGTGATGGTGCTGTAGCATCTGATGATGGTGATGGGTGCTTGCATCTGATGATGGTGATGGTGCTGTAGCATCTTGGATTGACTGCGTTGATGGTGCTGTAAGCAATGCTGAATGATGGTTGATTGTGCTGTAGCAATCTGATGATGGTGATGCGTGCTGTAGCATCGATGATGGTGATGGTGGCTGTAGCATCTGATGATGGGTCGATGTTGCTGTAGCATCTTGAATGATGCTTGGTTGGTGCTGTAAGTATCTCGATGAGGTGATGGCTGCTGTTAGCATCTGATGATTGGTGGGTGGCTGTAGCATCTGATGAGGTGATGTGGTGTAGCATCTTGATGATGGTGGATGGTGCGCTGTAGCTCTGATGATGGTGGGTGGTGTAGCATCTGGATGCATTGGTGAGCTGCTGTAGCATGCTGATGAATGTGGGTGGGTACATGTGATGCGTCGTGTCTGTAGCGATCTGATGATGGTGATGGTCGCTGTAGCATCTGATGGGTGGTTGGTGCTGTAGCATCTAATGATCGGTGATGCGTGCTGTAGCATCTGATGATGGTGGGTGGTGTGGTAGCATCTGATGATGGCTGGATGGTGCTAGCATCTGATGATGGTGATGGTGCTGTAGATCAGTGGTGATGCTGTGAGCATCTGAATGGTGATGGTGCCTGTAGCATCTGATATGGTGGGTGGTGTAGCATCTTGATGATGGTGATGGTGCTGCTAGCATCTGATGATGGGGTGGTGCTGTAGCATCTGATGATGAGTGATGGTGCTGTTAGCATCCTGATGGTGTGATGGTGCTGTATGCAATCTGAATGATGGTGATGGTGCTGTAGACATCTGAATGATGTGTGATGTGCTGTAGCATCTTTTTGATGATGGTGATTGGTGCTGTAGCTCTCGATTTGATGGTGATGGTGCTGTAGCATCTGATGATGGTGATGGTGCTGTAGATCTGATGATGGTGATGGTGCTGTAGCATCTGATGATGGGTGGTGGTGCTGTAGCATCTGATGATGGTATGTATGCTGTAGCATCTGATGATGGTGAATGGTGGCTGCTAGCATGCTCATGGTGATGTGCGTAGCATCTGCATGATGGTGATGGTGCTGTGCATCTGATGATTGGTGATGGTGCCTGTAGGCATTCTGATGATGGTGGGTGGTGTAGCATCTGATGATGGTGATGGTTGCTGTAGCATCTGATGATTGGTGATTGGTGCTGTAAGCATCTGAATTGGTTGGTGATGAGTGCTGTAGCCATGCTGATGATGGTGATGACATGCTTAGTCAGCATCTGATTGATGGTGATGTGCTGTAGCATCTATGATGGTGGTGATGCTTGCTGTAGCATCTGATGATGCTGGGTGTGCTGTAGCGCATCTGAATGAATGATGGTTGAATGTGCTGTAGCATTGTGATGCATTGGTGATGGGCTGTAGCATCTGAATATCGGTGCAGTGTGCTGTAGCATCTGAATAGATGCGTGGGTGCGTGATAGCATCCTGATGATGGTGATGGTGGTGCAGCATCTGATGGATGCGTGGGTGGTGGAGGAGTGATGCGGAGATGTCACGGGCTGCGTCGCCAGCGCTGTTGTGTGGGGGGGGCGTGATGTGTGTGTGTGTGTGTGTGTGTTGTGTGTGTGAGGCGTGTGTGTGTGCGCGTGTGTGTGTGCGTGTGTGTGTTGTGTGTGATGTGTGTGCGTGTGTGTGTGTGGGGGCCGGTGTGTGTATGTGTGTGCGTACGTGTGTGTGTGCGTGCGTGCGTGCGTGTGTGCGATGCGTGCGTGCGTGCTGTGTGTTGTGTGTGTGAGGATGCGATGCGATGCTCGTACGCAGGTTACATCACTGGAAGGGTGCTGCGGGTACCTCTCCCCGTTGCCTAATATTTACAGTGAGTTGTGAGGGGGACAGCGCAGTAGCAGCAGTAGTCAGCAGCAGTGATTAGTAGTAGGCAGCAGTAGTAGTAGTAGTAGTAGTAAGTAGTGTAGTAGTAGTAGTAGTAGTAGTAGTAGTAGTAGTAGTAGTAGTAGTAGCAGCAGTCAGCAGTAGCAGTAGTAGTAGTAGTATATAGTAGTAGTAGCAGCAGTACAGTAGTAGTAGTAGTAGTAGTAGTAGTAGTAGAGTAAGTAGTAGTAGTAGTAGTAGCTTTTGGTTAGTAATATATAAAATTTTTTTAGCAGCAGTAGGCAGCAGTAGGCAGTAGCAGTAGCAGCTAGCAGTTAGGCAGTAGTAGTAAGTAGTAGTAGCAGATAGCAGTAAGTATAGCAGTAGGTAGTAAGTAGTGAGGCAGTAGCAGTAGTAGCAGTAGCAGTAAGGCACAGTAGTAGTAGTAGTAGCAGTAGTGTCAGTATAGATAGTAGTAAGCTAGTAGTAGTAGTAGTAGTGTAAGCGGTAGCGGCGCGGCAGTGGTAGTAGTGTAGCCAGCAGAACAGTAGTAGTAGCAGTAGCATCACGCACCAGCAGGCAAGCAGCAGGAGCGCAGCAGTACATCACCACGCAGCAGCAGCAGCAGCAGCAGTAGCAGTAGCAGCCAAACAGCAGCAGTAGCAGCAAGCAGCAGCAGCAGCAGCAGTAAGTAGTTTGCAGTAGCATCACACACCAGAGCAGCAGCAAGGAAGTGCAGCAGCAGCAGGAGGCAGTTAGCAGTCAGCAGCAAGCAGTAGCAGCAGCAGCGAGCAGCCAGTGTAGCAGGTCAGATAGCAGTAGACTCAGTAGTAGCATTACAGCTAGTAGTAGTATAGTAGTGTAGTAGTAGTAGTAGTAGTGGTACGGTAGCGGCAGCGGCAGTGGTAGTAGTGAGCAGCAGCAGTAGTAGTAGCAGTAGGCATCACCACCAGCAGCCAGCAGCAGGAGCAGCAGCAGTAGCATCACCACCAGCAGCAGTCAGCAGCAGCAGTAGCAGTAGCAGCAGAGCGCAGTAGCAGCAGCAGCAGCAGCAGAGGCACGTAGTAGTTTGCAGTAGCATCACCACACCAGCAGCAGCAGCAGGCAGCAGCAGCCAGCAGGAGCAGTAGCAGCAAGCAGGCAGCAGTAGCAGCACAAAGCAGCAGTTAGCGCAGCAGCAGGCAGTAGCCAAGCAGCCAGCAGCAGCAGGCGACAGTAGTAGTTGCAGTAGCATCACCACCACCACCAGAGGCAGCGAGCAGCAGGAGCAGCATGCGTCATGCAGCACCAGCATCATTGAGCAGAAGGCAAGCAGCAGCATCATCATTAGCAGCAGCAGCAGCAGCAACAAAAACAACAACAACAACAACAACAACAATGTCGATTCGCCCTGCTGCAGTGTTTCTCAGTCTCGTCACTGAGTTTGTGATGAAACAATTCGTGTCCCCCAATTTTCTCCGATGCAAGGAAAGTGGGTGACGAGTAGCGGAGGGGTTTCGACGAAATTATATTTGGTTTTTGTGGGTGGACAGACGTTTGTGAACTGAGAGGGGAAGGGCACGGCAGGGCACCTGAGGTGTGGCAGCCGAGGAGGTTTTGGGGATCAGATGCTTGCAGCTCTGACAACAAAACAAGCCGACACGCACGGTGGCTCCATCTATCGATAACACGCGACACTAAACCTCTTCGTCTTTAAGTCTCCCACGCACGGTGGCTCCATCTATCCACGTCACGCGACACTAACCTCTCTGTCTCTGTCTTTGTCTCCCGCAGGCGCTGGTCGGCTGCACTATACAGGTGCCGACGATCGAGGGACGCAAGCTGGCACTGCAGATGACCGACGTCGTCAAGCCGAACACGGTCAAGCGCATTCAAGGTCGCGGCCTGCCCAACCCCAAGGACCCGCAGAAGCGCGGCGACCTCCTCGTGACCTTTGACATCCGCTTCCCGGACAACCTCACGCAGGCGACGAAGGACGTTCTCGGAGACTGCCTACCGCGCGGAACGGGCGTCGCCCCGACATGAGCGCTCGCCGGCGCCCCCTGGCTCCGTCCCTGCCGCCGTCGTCGCAGTTCCGGCGCGCCGGCGCCTCCTGGAGACGATGGCGAAAGTTGGCACGTGGCTCCCCCATGTGAGCGTGCTTGGCAGCGGCGTTTCGGTTGGACGTTCGGTTGTTTCCGGCGGCGGCGGCAGGCGTCTCGACGACGGAATTCGTGGGGACAACGTGCGGCGCCCCCTGGTGGCTAACACACTTGTTGTCGTTCCTCGTCTCGCCAATGGATCTTTGCCCCACGTCCACGGGGGGGCGCCACGTGCCGCTTCTCTTATTCGCCGCTAGCGAACGCTTCATTCGTAATGTCACTACGGTGGTGTCACGCACACACAGCCCGCGCGATGGATGGTAACACTAACGTAAGCCAGTGTGTAGCTGTCTGGTATATGGCGTCGGCATGCAAGCTCCTTGCTATTCTTGAGAGAGGCCTGATACTGATGAAATGTTTATCTTAAATCCTAATCTATACGTATCTTCCTCTCCATTTTAAATGCTAATTTCGGCAAAAATTAATCTTGTTCGGGAATATTGCGCATCGCGCGAGACACGGTTTAGGCTGCAGTCCGACGAAGAAAATGCATAATATAGGCTGAGAGAGAGGTTCGGAGAGAGAGACCGAGGAAGGCGCAGTGATCGTTATGATGGTCAGGCAACTGCGAGTATTGAACTGTCGTTACAACGCTTGGTGGCATGAATCCATTGACCTTAGCAACGATGCATCTTAATTTACTAATGTATTTGGTAATTTAACGTAGTTTATTATAAATACTGCTTGAAGCTGATCGCAGGTGAGATAGCATATTTCAATAATGGATAGCAAGCGCATAATAACTAGAAGTTAGAGTGTTACTATATGGCAAGAACTTTGGAGCGTTTCAATAAAATATATGCTAAATAAATCAAATCTATTTACTACGCAAAGTCTAATGTTTCTCTCTCTTTTTCGGCTATTATTGCCGACATTTCTTGTACATTCGCGTGCAATGCTTCTCTGCAACCCACTGTACTGTAGGACCGCACACGCATGCACGTGTCGCAAACTGAACATAAATATTATAGTGCTTCTGCTGTGTCATGGTAGTAACATTAATAGTGAACTAAATAATCACAGATTTCCTTACTCCCCTATCCGCGGATGGTATCGCCCACGACCGTCAAGCATGACAACTTTTGCCTGTAAATGGTCCGTATTTAGCCGAAACATTTTCACTCCCCGATGCACACATGTGAATTTACGCATATAAACGCGCCAGCGTGCGTGCGACCACCCCGCGCGTGTGCGCGTCCGTTTAATGTGTGTGGAATGTGTGTTTTGTGTGACTGTAAAACCGCG